ATGTATTTTACATTCATACAACTAGAAAAGAAAAATTACTTTTCATTTACATCTTTCACATTTGGGTCAATTGTAAAATTTTGATTACATACCTTTACAAACTGATCAATCAACAATTTAAAAGAAAAAGCCAGACAACACCTATTAAAAATATCAATCGTCACTCACAAAGTGAAATGCTAATTTGGTGAAAATGTTATATACAGACATGATTGTTTTACCAGTGAAGAAATTCACACAATGATACATTCTAACATCCATAAACTGTGTTATATATAATGCGATTCTGTAATGACAATGGTCCCCACAAACTATTATGCTCTTTCCCAAGCCTATATATCACTCTACTTATTTAATATTTGCTTATTAAGTATGCTATGAGATTTCTTCATTTAATTTTTCACTAAATCTACTGCAACATATTTTAGGAAGGGGTAACCATCATGTAACTCCCATTGCCCAACAAGGAATGAAAAACTCATAAAAGCCATGATTTTTTTCATGTCAAAACACTGACAATATTCTGCAGTCTTTCAAATTCTCAGTCTAGAAAGTGGATGTACATGACTGACTTTGGAGGGATAAATATATATATATGTATTTTTTTTTCTCAGTAAAAAGTACAGGAGAAGGCCCATGAGATTATTATTATTATTTTTTTTTGCTTGGGGAGGTGGCAGGGAGGGAGGTGTAATGACAAGAAAACCAATGGTATAATTTAGAGGCCAAGGTCTAAAGCCAGTTGCCATGGATTCCATCAGCATGCAATTATGTATATAGATTTATATCTTAAAGTTTATATTCCTTCTGTAATTTATTATCTTAATATATATTGCTCTGATTGGGAGACCAACTGTCTCCATTTACCTCTCTGTTCATTTGTGGTTTCTATTTTTATTCTTTTCTACTAAATCTGTAAAGAAAGCAAACGTATTTGCTCATGACTACATGGCATATATAAGAAAAGATTACACATAAAAATCCATGTAAATAATTTAAGTTAAAATATTTAAGTTAAAAGAAAGGTTTGTATAAAAATTATTTCTGTGGAAAGACAGAATTGCAAATTAATTGTTTTTACATATATACATCCATTTATAAATTCACAAGAAAAGGGTTTTTTTTAATTAGACCAAGTCTAATGGTCCTTTTTCTAGTCATATTTTCTAAATCTAAAGAATCTATAGTAGATAGTAGTATGAAAATAAAAAGCAGTTTAAATCTACTAGACGAGTTAAGAGTGAAGTAACATGATCCACTATAGATCTTAATACAGTCCTAAGCATAGGAACTAGTTAGCCACAGTTCTTATATATTAATACATTCTTGAAGAATACAAAATTTAAGAATGAAAACATTAAGACATTTTTACTTTTCAAATTAACTTTAGCTTATAAATACCATGTGCTTAATCTTTAACCCGCTAATACAATAGGAGCATCTTGTGATGAAGAACTTTTAGTTGTATATGCTGCACTTTAGCAAGAATACCTGCATTAGAATGAGACCTTTATTTGCTAGGAGTCATTTTTTCCCACTGGTGCCTTTTCTTCAGTTAGAATTATAACAGACATTATGCTCAGAATAAGAACTTAAGGCTTTGAATAGAATCATAAGTAAGATCTAAAATTTGAAGCCAAGAAGAGGAGAGGGAGCCACCCTGTTTCCACCAAGTAGAGATAAGAAAAATGGACATGGAATTGTGAGCTCATAGAAATAATTTTGAGAGATTTGTAGAAGGCATCAATGAATCGTTAACAACCCTGCAGCACCATGAAGTTTGTTCTTTTCTTTACAAATTTATGAGTAGAAGTCTCCTTAAAAAATGCCACAAAAGCCAGATGTATATATCTATTTGTGGATAGTATATTTAAAAAGTTAGTCTGTGTAAAAAAAGGAAAAAAAACCCTAGCTTCTTTTGTGGAGGGGGTCAATTTTAAATGGGGTAGGTCGCTCAGGGAAGAAATGTGCACTGACCTACACATTAAATGAAACTTCATGGAAAATAAAATGTAGCTTCATAAAGTCGTGCAGATGTGCTTTGTTTCATCATCCATAACCTTTGCAAAAATAAAAAACATTTCTGACAATTATTTGAATTCAAGGAAGAATGTTCCTTCTCCTTGCTTTCTTCTTCTTATATGCAGCAATTTGACTTAGACTGTTACTTCTTAGGAATTTTATTTCCTTTATATCCTTTGGGGCTGGAGGCTGAGAGAGGAAATTTTCAGTATAAAAACCATACCCTGAAGAGTATTATTGCTTGCATACATGATGTCATTACAGATACCTTTACTATGAAGGTGGCTGCTATCATTTTTCATAACTGAGCCCCATTTAGATGTCTGCACTACATTTCATACAGAATATACCAACTAGTAGACTTTTAAATATAGCAAAAGTGAAATGTAAATTAAAAAATCTGGAATGATTTTTAAAGAATAGCAGTTTTTATCAAATATGTTCTTTTCAAGTTTGAAGGAAGGGCACTTTAAAGGAAAATTACTTGGATAGCACCAAATTAGATAAAAGAAATAATTAAGAGCTGTACGGAATACTGATTTTTAATAGGAAAGCAACATATATTCTTTTCTGTTCAATTTGTCATGACTGTTTCTGTATATTAGAAAGCAAAAGACATTACTTTTGTGAACAGTTTACACATGGTTTAATTTTATAATGGTCATTTTAAGAGCTTTCCTAATGGTCAATTTAAGAGCTATCCTAAAAGTGTGAGTTAATACTTTAATGAGAAGGTAAGCAGCTTCTTTTTGCCTGGCTGAAGACCTGAGGAGTGGAAAGTGAAGGATGATGATTGAACAACCACAAGTTCTCATTAGCACTTCTATTTCTAATATTTATTTTAAAAATTAATATTCATTATCTTTATGAGCATAATAATAATAATAATAATTGAGTAATTTTTCAATACTCTAAGTTGAATAGCATTGATATTTACTGAGCCAGAAATTCAGTGTGCTCATGTTACTTCCATTCCAGGAAAAGAACAAAATAGTAGGAAAAGGAGAGTTTTTGCTATTCAAAACATTGTTTTCAAAAATTATCTGGCCCATAAATCTTCTAAGTGGCCCTTATATTGCCATTATTCTATCCAAATTGACTAAAGATAAATTAGATTCCCTTGACAATAGACAATACGTTTATTGCTTCTCTTTTCTTATAATTCAGAAGACCAAAGCATCCTCTACACCTCTAGCTTAATAATCACCCTAGCATATCTGTGTACATACATACAGAGTTGGTAACTAGAAAACAGAAGCAATGTAAAATTTCTTTTAGTCCATCTCTGACTTTAATGGGGCCTAAAAAGCTACCTTTTTCTTGTTTGGGCTCTAAGTATTTGGCTTCCTGTTAATGATCATGGCTGGTATTCCTTTAATGAAGGAAGGGAACCTAATGATGTTAGTTGTAACTGTTTTACCCACTTGTCAGGAGGCATTTCAAATATTTCTTATAGCAATGCATCCTGCATAAATGTGTAGCAGTGTCCAATTCTGAGTAAACCCATGCTTTTGTGAAGGTGGATTCTTTAAAAGCCAAGGCTATATAACAAATAGGGTTATTTCCTAAAGGTTTCTAGCAGATTGATGCATTAAAAAATAAGCATTAAAAAAATAAGCATGTTTAGGATATGACAAGGTGAAGGAAAAACATTTTTCTCAATCTGTATCTTTTAAGCTAAGCAGTCATTTTAATGTGAGATTTTAATAACAAGTACAATATAGTAATGACTTCTAAGAGATCATATTTTATCTCTTAAAGTTCCCCAGAGGATAAAAGGGGAAAAATTTGAGATCCTTGTCAATCATGTTGTCCCTCCCCACGACCTGCAATTATTGTGTGTTCTCCCTCTTATCTCTGGTGAAGTGGTTTTTAGACTCGAGCACAGAGTCTCTCTGATAATCTCCAAATACAGGTTCTCATATGTGAATTTTGTTTCATGTCAAGCAAAGGAACAGGCCTCCATCGTTATCTTAATTGCTCATTTTATATATATAGTCTTCATTTTACCACACTTAACAGTCTATGAAAAAGAAAAACAATACAATAAACGTAGTGTCCACATTACCTAGGTATGTGTAAACTCAAGTGTACTATACAGCTTAGGGTTCAGTGAAGACTTTTTGTACATGCTGATGTTAACTGCTGTAATAATTGTGAATGGAAGAATAATCTGTATGACTGATCCAAGTGGCAAGATACACGTTATCTCAGAATAATCAAGACTGAAGTATTAACTAACTCTGTCTTATATTTAAATAGGTATTATTAGCACCTTCAAAAGGAGGCACTGTTTTAAATAGGCACAGGACGAAAAAATACATAGTACTTTAAAAATACTGTTGGGATTCACCAGTATATCCTATGCCACATAAATTACTGCTTTTTAAAAAAATTATAAAAATATGAATACCCTTAAATGTCAGATGTCCAGTTAAATGTAAGTCACTCCAAAACATTTATGTTTAGAACACGGCTCAATTCCATGATAAAGAAAGCTTTGTTTTAAAAATAGAGACAAATATGACCCTAAAGCTGAGGAGAAAAGGATGTATATATGTTTATATTTAATACTATTAACACATAATTGCTATACACTTAAGGTATTTTGTTCTTATGAGTATTTCTACAAAACCCAAATTTTATCTCTTAAGTCAAAAGCCTGAAACCATCAATTTATCCTTTTATTGTTTTATTTTGTAAGAGCATATGTTATTTAAAATGATCAACTAAATTAAATAAGCTAATACAATAACCTAAACTGTCCCTGTATTATAACCATGAATCTATTTTGGCAACATGGAGGTATATCTTTCAAACTGTCACAAATCCTACATGTGAAAAAGACAGTAAAGATTTTTTTTTTAAATGAAAGTGGCCCATTCTAACCTGATAGTGAAAGAATCAATTATTGATACCATTTTCTTCAAGACAAAAGTACACATTCAAGGAATAGCTCATAAAAATGCTTCATTTTTCACATTATTTCAAAACTTCATCACTGGAATGGCTCTGCACATGAATTTCATGAATAGTACATAAATATAGGAAAACTGTCCCCAAACGATGCATTTATGAGCCTGTATTTTTCAACATAAAGTGCTAAGAGATGAATAAGGAGAATGGGAATGTCTTGAGCAATCAATCTTGTGACTCCCCCCACACTGTGGTTGGTCCTGGAGTTCAGCATTCTGATTTTTTCTTAGGTTCAGCATGATCGTCCAAGGTGGCTGGAGGCTCATTTGGGCCGTCTGGCGTCTCACCTGTGACAGCTAAGAGAATGACTTTCAGCCACTTCTGTTTCAGTTCCTCATTGTCTGCAGCAAAGCTGTGCACAGACTTGGACTGGGTCAGTTTGAAACTGTGCGGCAAGTCTGCACTCCTTGGCATGTCATCCACTATGTAGCCCAGAAGTGGAATGGTGGCCTGGGCTCTGACGTCCTAGGAAAAACATATCATAGATGAGCGTCCCCCTACTTCCCAACAGAGACTCCTACTATATACACTTTATACATGTATTGGTTGTGGTGTACTATCAAGTCTGAACCAACCCACAGCAGATATTCAGAGGCAGTAAACTGCATGGGAGGAGACTGCCCATCTTTCTCCCACAGAGCAGCTGGTGGATTTGAACTATGTACCTTTGCATTGGCAGAACCATTACTAAACACTAAGCCACCAGGATTTCTGATAATGCTGCCCGAAGGAATTAACAAATATGAGAAATCAGGACTAAATGAAGCTCCCTACACCTCCCTAAGGATGTTGAGCATCTTTCCACTTACTTATTGGCGATTTGCATTTCAACTCTGGGTTTTGTTTTCATTGCTAAGTTGCAGGCATTATTTATCTTTCTGGATAATATACCTTTATCATATATGTAACAGGAACCCACTACTGCCAAGTCCATTCTGATTTACAATGTTCACCAGTAGGTTTTGAAGACTCTACATTTTTTTAAAAATCTTTTATATTGGTTTGCATACAAAATTTGTATACATTGTGTTTCACACTTTCCTTCATTCACATTCATACATCATACATCATTCCCATACATTATGTTTTATACACTTAATCTCCATTGACCTATGTCCACCATTAACCCATCTTTTCAGATCCTCACCAGATCTTTCCCATTTCCTTTACACATTTCCATCACCCACCAAATTGTGTGACCCTATGATTTCCTCCCTGCCTATCTTGACTCCTTTGCTTCCACCCCTTCTCCCCTTGAATTCCCATACATATTATAGCTATGTTTCTATTTTTACAATAATGGTCTTATGCAGTATCTGTCCTTATGAGACGAAGTTAGTTCACTCAGCATAATGCTCTCCAGTCTCTCCCAAGTCATTGCTCCTGAGTGCTGTGTAATATTCCATTGTGTGACTGTACCACAATTTCTTAATCCATTCGATTGTGGTTGAACATTTGGGCTGTTTCCATGTTCTTGAGGTGGTGAATAAAGCTGCTATGAACAAATATCCATTTGTGTCTCAGTTCTAATTTCCTTGGGGCATATTCTAAGCAGTGGAATAGTTGAGTCATACTGAATGTCTATGATCAGCTTTTTGAGGAAATTCCAAACTGCCTTTCAGAGTGGTTGTACCATTTTACAATCCCACCAAAGTATATCAGAGTTCCTAACTCTCCACATCCTTTCCCATATTTATTGCCTGCTGTCTTGGTAAATTTTGCCACTGCTACTGGGATGAGATGGTATCTAATTGCGGCTTTGATTTGCATCTTTTTTATTATCAGTGATTTTGGCCTTGAGAATATCTTCCTCTGTGAAAAGTCTTTCCATGCCATCTTCTGCCCATTTTGTAATTGGGTTATCAGTCTTTTTCTTGTGGAGGCCCTGTAAACTTCTGTTATTAGACTCTTGTCTGAGATGGTATTACCAAATGTTTATTCACTGTAGGTAAGTCTTCTTTTCACCCTATTGGAAAGAGTTTTTTATGTGCACAGGGATTTAATCTTTAGAAGGTCTTATTCATCAGTTTTATCTTCCCCTTTTTGTGTATTTTTGGTTATATTTGTCAGCCTCTTTATACCATAGGCTAGGCCTTCTAAGTTTGGTCCCACTTTATCTCTTATGAACTTTATGGTTTTAGGCTTTACTCCCAGGTCTTTGATCCACCTTGAGTTGATTTTTTGTTCATAGTGTGAGATGTGGATCCTATTTCAGCTTTCTATAGGTAGCAATCCAGTTTTGCAGCACCATTTGTTGAAGACTTTGTCATTTCCCCATTTGATACGTTTTATTTCCTTGTTGACCATACATACTATTAATTGTAATGAGAGCAGACAGACTCATCTTTCTCCTGTGGATTTAAATGGTTGATCTTGTTAGCATCTCAATACTTAGCACAAGATATTACCATGCCTCCTTTTCCTGATCTGTAGGTTGTCTCTATACTTTTAAAATAAAGTCCTGTGATGAAAAAAGTTTTAAGAACTGTTGAAACTAGATCCCAAATATATTCCTTATGTTTTCTTGGGGTATGGGTCCCTGGTGGGGCACAGTTACCTAAGTATTCCACTGAAATTCCAAATGTAGGAATTCTGAATACACCAGTTCTTCAGGAGAAAGATGAGGCAGACTGTTCCTATAAATATTTACAACTTTGGAAATCCTATGGAGTTCTAGGTCTTATGAGCAAGTTGGGAGACCCATTATTATACTCAGATGGTTTTGATTATCATAGCTTTATAATGTGTTTTAAGATCAGGTGTTTTTTAAAAATTATATTATTTTTGTGTGAGTGTACCATCAACTCAGATCTGATTGGTACAGGAGGAGATTGTCCCTCCTTCCCCGGCCGAGCATCTGGTGGATTTGAACCATGCGCCTCTGGGATTGTAGTTGCAGCTCCTTGCCACTAGGCCACCAGAGCTCCCCCGTGTTTTAAGATCAGGAAGAGTGAGTCATCCAACTTTGTTGTCCCATTTCATGATTACTTTAATGTTTCGGGTCCTTTGCAGTTCCATTTAAATACGAGGCTTGGCTTTTGCATTTCTGCACAGAAATCCTTTGGAATTTTGATGTGGATTGCCATGAATCTGTAGCGTGCTTAACAATAATCACTATCAAAGTAGCTCTGGTGGCCTAGTGGCAGGAAGCTGCACTGCAATCCCCGAAGTGCACGGCTCAAATCCAGCAGACGCTTTGCTGGAGAAGGAGGAACAATCTCCTGTACCAGTCAGATCCAATTTGGTGGTACAAACACAAAAATAATAAAAAGAAATTAAAAAACAAACAGCCAATAATCACTGTCTTAACAATATTAAATCTTCTGATTTATGAAAACAGAATGCTTTTTTTTGTTTATTTAGGCCTTTTTATTTTTATTTTTTTCCCACCTCTGTATTTTTGTTGGTATGCATATAGTTATTCATACACACTGTATTTCATACATATACAAAATGTGTGTTTTTGTGTGTGTTTCACACTTTCCTTCATTGACACTGTTTCATATAATCATTCCCATATACTGTGTTTTATAAAATTATTTCATAATCAGACTGCTCAATTCTGATATACAATAATATGGATAAGTTTTTTTTTTTTAATCTGGCCACTCTGTTGAGTTCACTTATGAGCGCTAGTTGTTTTCTTTGTGGAGGGCTTGAGATCCTCCATGTAAGGATATGAGCTCTCGTGGCACTGTGGCTAAGCAGTTAGTTAAGTTCTAACAGAAAGGTTGGTAGGTCAAATCCACCCAATGGTACCACAGAGGAAAAAACTTATTTTCAAAAATATTACAAAATCTTAGAGGGCAATTTTACTCTGATACATTGAATAAAAAGCAACTCGATGGCACTTAAAAATAAACTACAGGATTGTGTCATCTGTGAAAAGGAATCTTTTTAGTTCTTCTTTCTCAAATGACATAACTTTTATTTCTTCATCTTGTCTATTCTAGCTAGAACTTCTAGTACAATAATGAACAACAGTTGAGAGAGCAGGTATCCTTGTCTTAATACTAATTTTAAGGGAAAAGCTCTCAGTCTTTCATGACTGAGTATGATGTTATCAGTGAGTTTTTATAAACATATTTTGTCATATTGATTTTTTCCTTAATCTAGTTTATTGACATATTTATCACTTGGATTCTGGGAAATAATTTCTCTGAGTCAATTAAGACAGTCAGGGCTCAGCAAATATTTTTTTTCCTGTTGCAGTTCTTGATTTACGTATTTAGAAGGGTTGGAAATTTAGAGCTGATCACCAATCATCTTTCCCCATTAGTGTGGCAGTGGTTTTAAAGAACACAATCTGTAGTACCTGGTGCTAATCTTATTACCAACTGATAGCTGCTATTTCCGTAGATTTTTCTTGAGATCTGTTACTGCACAATGTTAACTAAAGATGGATTAAAAGTCTCCATTTCAAATTCCATTCTTTTTCAGGTTTCTATTTATTCAGCAAAAAGTACAGTCTTAACATTGTTTATTATAATTTCAAAAGGGAGCTCTGGTGGCCTACTAGGTAAGGAGTTCACTGCCAACCCAAAGGCAAGCGCTCTGAATCCACCAAGTTGCTCTGTAGGAGGAAGACAGGCAATCTCCTCCCGTGCAATTCACAGCCTTTCAGAACCCGCTGGATGGTCAGTCAGAAACTGATTCCAATTCAGTGGCAAAGAGTTATTTTTTAAACATTAAAAGGGCTCATGTCTTCTTTTTTGCTTCTTCCACTTATCCCATTCTCCCTTGTTCTATCCTAATTCAACTTGCCTTTTCTCCAACCCACTAAATAGAAAGGAAAGAGAGAAAATCAAGAAAGTACTGAGTTTTAAAAAGAATCAGTCCACTTCAATAATAAATTTGAAATGTAGTTATTTACTATTCCCAATTTTATTGAAAGTTGAACTCTCTGGTTCCAAAAAGGAGGCAATGGAAAGATTCCAAGTTAAGCTCAATGGCCTACAATGATCTCTGCTGCAATAGGCAGATACAGTTTACATACCTGTGGGGCCCCGTACATGTACAACACAAGAGGGTCTTGCTTGGGGATCACACACCATGCTTTCTGCCAAGGTTTTGACTTCTCCATGTACTGCAGAAAACTGCATACCACACTGTTTCCAGACACTTCTGCTGATTCAATCTAGAAAAATGTAATAGAATCAATTGTGTGAGACTGAATGAACATAAAATGAACTACATTAGGAACTGATTAAACTTTGTATTTTCCCTTAAGTCAAATATGTTTACATAAAATTCTCCTTGAGCTCCCCAAGGAGCTCAAGAAATAACCACCTGCTTTTATTGTATAAGTGCACATTAGTTATATCTGTTGTTGTTGTTATGTGCTATCGAGTCACTTGTGACTCATAGCGACCCTATGTACAACAGACATGGGAAAAAGAATTTGGCAAATTTTATCTATTTTGACTTTGACTTTAAATAGAACGAACTTCTGACTATAACAGGCACTTTTCTTAACTTGCTCTATGTATTATTTCACTTAATCCTCACATCAACACTAAGAAGTTAGTGCTTCCATTATCTCTGAGGCTCAAGCATTTAAAGACTTTTCCCAAGATCACATATTTAGCAATTTCCGTGCCAGTCTTATTCTGGAGCTTGAACCATGATGCTACCATTTATCACATTATCTAAGAATGCAATAACAAAAGGACAAACATTCACCAGCAGTCTTTTGAATTATTTTAAGTCATAGTACTTTAAATAAAACCGTCTTTTATAGTTACAGCAAGCTTTTACAGGCATTACTATTTTCTGGTTTGCTCTTTTTTTTTAACATAATTTTAAAAATTAATTTTAATGAACAATTACTGAGATTTTAGATTTCCATTCATTCATTGTTGCACTTTTCTCCCTGCCCACCCCTCCCCCCCAGGTTGCTCCTCTCTTTGAAAAGTAAAAGAAAAATTCCTTCATTGGTATACAATCCGCTCCCTCCCCTCCACCCCACCCGAGTACACTACACTTTGCAACCTTAATTCTGGACTCTTGCTTTCTTATATATAAACTACTTGCTAAAAAAGAGGAAGGAAATAATTTGATAGTTTTCCATCTCTGTAATCCTGAAGGTAAGGCTACTTATTATCATCTATTGAAAAATGCTGGCTTGCAAATTATTTTGTAAATTTCGTAATCAGTTCAACATTAGGCACAGAAATAAGACTAACCAGTTAGAAACTTAAAGGACTTTGACTTTGTCATTGACACTGAAGTGTAGGAAGTTGAATTTTATGTAAATACTGAACTATGTTGAATTAGAAATAAAAGTGGTCCTTCAGCATGACAAATTTAAGAAGCATAGGTGGGCGGATTATGGCCCACAACTTACTGTTGTATGAATCATCCACTACGGACGGTTTATACAGATGAATATTTACAGACAATTTGCTGATACGGGATTAGGAACTTTGAACTCCACTTAAGTTGTATGTTACCCCTCTGCCAAAGAGAATTGTCTTCTTCTTATCAGTAGATCCATATTATTAAAAAGAACGCTAATTTATATTTTCAATTTTGTTAATGATCTGTAGACATTTTTTTCTTGTTATAACAGTTACCTATGTAATAGTCTCAATTTTATCTCATGGTATACAAAACAGAAAATATTTTCTCTGTAACTTGTTGAAGGAAAATTGTGGATCTCTGTGGTCTAGAGAGTTTAGCATGCTAATAAATGCAGAAATGTGTATGTGTACACACATATAATGCTTTTTTTTAGACATTATACTTTATTTATTTGGTTGAATTACTCTAATAAACAATTGATGTTTTGTTTCCTTTTCTAGAAAACTCTTTGGACATTTTTATTTTATGATATATGCCAAAATTGATCCTTTAATCTAGTAGTCTGACTCATTAGACTCTGCCTCTCTCTCAGCTGAGGCCATTCCTGGGCAACACTGCAGCAAGTCAGGCCATCCTCTCTGCCAAAGAAATAACACTTATTCCTCAGAAGTATCAGACTTGTATTTTTAGTTTGTGTATCTTTATTTTAATTGTACGTGGATCTTGAAGTTTGTATCTTATATTCTGTGAATAGAAATGGCTTTTCAAACTTACACATTGCAAGTGCTCAAGGAATAATTAATGTTTCTTTAGAAAGTCTTAAGAAATCAACTATATCTAAGACTTCAGCTTCACAGAATTTTCACCATGAGCCTTTTCTTCAAAGACTTTTCAAGCTGTCTTTGAACTTATTGCCAGAAAAGCCCTATTTTGTATTAATTCCTATAGTCTTAATATCTTAGATTGTGAAATGGATTTCTAACACAGGTTTCATTTTAGTCCCCAGGCTTGGGAATGGGGAGGAAGATGCAGAATTTATTCTAAAAATGAGTCTAATTCACTTGGGAAAAGCTTCAATAACATGTCAATGCCATTTTTAGATTGTTGTCTCTGGATAATTGATGATGCTCTCAATGCAATAAGCTGGAAATTTTTTCCAGACAACAAAAATATTTCAACTAAATTTGAATGTTTTAATATAATGTTTTCAAAGTTACTGTGAAAATGTTGGGAAAGCTGTCTTATAAAAAATATACTATTAATACTTTGTACATTAGAAAAGATGCCAATTATTTGACATATAATATTTGATTACAGTTACATTCACCAAATCATTATTTTCAAGCGTGTGTTGGTATAATATCGTCCTCTCAATGGTATGACCATGTAGAATCCTAAAAGTCAGCAGTACAAAACAAAGGTATTAATTATATTCCTTGTTACTCAAAATGTTAAATACTAAAAAAATATACATATTTCTTAAAATATTTAATATTAATACCTCTAAAATTCCTTTCCTTTTCTTTTCTTCACTGTCCGCAAATCCACTTATTATATGATAGCAGTCTTTACAAACTTTGCTCAGTTTACCACCATCATACTCAAGTTGAGCTTTGTAATCGGAACACTTCCAACAAACCACCTTCAAAGAAAAAGGATAGTAACTGGTGAATCATATTTAAAACATAAAAAATGTTTTCATTAATGTTGGGCAATAATAAAGTCAATGGAAAAGGCAGATTTGTATGACACCAAGTAAGAGGATCTCCATAGACAGCAAGTGTCTGTCATGATGGCATGAGGTATCCTAGGTTGTGACAGCTCCTTCTAGAATGTTAAATAGATGCTCTTATTCTTTACACTTGTGGATATTTTATCAACATTCTCCAAAACTGATGATCATCCTGACTTTCAGCTGTCTCCTTATCCCACTCTACCTATCTCACTCCTCCAAACCTGGTTCCTCTGGTGGTTCTCTCTATTCCAGGAAACAGAATATCTGTCTGACCAGTGATAAGTCAGAAACCTAGAAGCTATGCCTCACAGCTTCCTGCACTTGATCTTGTAGACTGGCCATATTACAATCTCTTGGTGATTGTATCTCTTAAATACTTCTTCAATCTGTATCCTTTTCAACATCTTCCTATAGGCACTCAAGTCTAAGACGTTAGTATCCTATCTTGGACTACTACCACAGCCTCCTAACTGGTCTCCTTGTGTTATTCTTGTTGAGTTCTGCTTTTATATCTCCTCAAGCTGTTTTCCAAGCAGCAGCCAGAGCTCTCCTAAAAATGCTCATCTGATATGTTCTTCCTCTATTTTCAATTTCACAAAGTTTCTTCTTTTCTCTTTTATGAAGAACAAATGCTTTGTTCTGCCCCAATTACTCCCCACATGCTTCTGGTCTCTTCAGTCATATTGGTTCTTCCATGCCTCCAAAGGGTTATGCATCTCTGCCTTTAGGAATTTAACTTGTTCTTTTTTCTTTTCCTTTTTCTTTAAATGGAGATTTTATTGTAAGTTTATAAAGAACTTGGATTTCTATTCATTCACTGAGTTTAACTCTTTCTTGTTCATCTTACAGCTGTGGGTTCAGCTTTCACTTCCTCAAGGATGACTCCCTTGAACTTGCATGATAGGGTATGGATCTCATCACTGTGTTGCAAAAACTTGCAGTACTTTCTTTCATACCATTGATAGCTGTTGTTATGTGCCCTAGAGTCTCTTGCAACTCATAGTGACCATATGTCAATATGACATAGCCCTGAAACCCTATGACAATAGCCCTGCAAGCAGCTCTATCCTGTGCCAACTTTCCTGTCTCTGACACACCTACTCTCATTGATTATCGCTTTTAATTATACACTAGTAAGATCATACCTAAGCATCGAGGACTCTCCTTCATAGGGTCGCTATGAGTTGCCTGCGACTCGACGGCACTTAACAACAACACCAACAGTAAGATTATGACTATCTCCCTGAACCAAGCATGAGAGATTGTCAGTGAATTCAATGCAAATGCATGATATTTCTTAGTGAAGCCTATTTTGCATATCTGTATCTGCAATATCCTAACAAAGAATATTGTTTATTTTCAGATCATATGGTATTATTTAAAAAGTGTACATACAAACACATTCTTGCTTATCTAAGGCAAGTATGCTGATACCAGAAATTATTTCAAACAAACTCACTGATGGATTAAAAAAGTCTTACATTGCAAAAATATACTTGTCATGAATTTAATTTTGATTTAAAAACAGCCTCTGTGGGTCAAAATTAAGTGTGAGGAAAAGAATAAATTTGCAGTATGAGTAAGAATAAGCAAAAGAATCAGAAATATGGATTTTTTTTTCTTAAACAGAAGGACACTGCAATGCATACTGTTTTATGCTTATGCAGAACTTTTATGAGAAAACATAATTTTCTACTTGGCTTAGAAAGTCCTCCAAGACCTGTTCCTACCATTCTCTAGTTCCATTTCACTTTTTATTCACCTTTACTCTTGCCATATGAAAATCACTCAAAAAATCCCATGTGGCTTCATTACATTTAAACATTCTGCACATACTCATTAGTAAACTTAATGTCCCAGAAATATATTTTTGGATAATAAATCTCATAAATAAGACAATTTATTTTTCAAAGTAGGCAAGAAACATACCAAAAAACTGTACAAATATTGAGAATATAGAAAGACTATGTAACGGTCATAACTAGAAATCTACAACAAGTGTTTAAAGGTTTTTTATTCTATCTAGTATGGCAGAGAGCTCTGGTGGCCTAGTGGTAAGAAGCTATGCTGTAATCTCAAAGGCAAGTGGTTCAATGCCACCAGCTGCTCCACAGAAGAAGGAAGGATGGGCAATCTCCCCCTGCACAATTAACTGCCTCTGAAAACCTACCAGAGGCTCAGCTATGGGTCAGTTCTGACTCTATAGTACACAACAACAACATCCAGTATAGCAGACCAGGTAGAGGTCCTTTTGCTCTGAGAGCAAACTACATGGCATAGTACATGCCTTTGGTGTGGCAGTGCATCTCTTTACCACAAAGCCAGCTCATAGGATAGTCAATACTCTTTTCCAGCACCACAAATCAAAGGCATCCATTCTTCTGTCATTCTTATTCATTGTCCAACATTCAGAAGCCTATCAAGTGAATGAAAAGACCATGATCTGAATCAGGAACACCTTAGTCCTCAAACTGACATCATTGCTCCTCAGTCATTTTGCGCGGTCTCTGACTGCAGACTTTCCCAGTGCAATATGTCTACTGATTTCCTGGTACCAAGTGGATCCATTTAAGATGAAGTCACTGCATATTTCAATTTTTTCCTCTATCTACCATAATACAGACTATTGGTCCAGAGATGACAATTTTTGATACCGAGATGCAATCCATACTGCAGTGTTTGATCTTCTGCATCACATGGACCAAGAAGCATTTGTTCTAACAAAATAAGGAGTTATATCCTTTCACTATACTTACTCAGTCTCAATAACGACCAAATAATGTGGTAAATTGTACTACATGTGAACATAGCATTAGCCTTGGAGGAAGGCACATTAGAAACCTGGAAAAGGCAGATGACACAACTTTGCTAGAAATGAACTGCTGAAACACTGACAAATATTAATGACTACAGTCTTCAGAATCTCCGTTCGGGACACATTAACACTAAACTTAGGAGACTCTGGTCACAGAATAAGAAACTGTTAGCAGCTGATGAATCTGGAATCACAGAAACCAAGGAAGCTTTAGACATAAGTGATCAGATCAAGGGCTGGACAATGGAAGATAGGTGATGAAGGGAGTGGGTAGAAGTGGAGGGGTATCTTGATGGATGGTGGAGCAAAGAAATAAGTGGGTCAGGGCACTTGAGCCAAAGGCAGGGACAACACCGAAACTAATGGTTAATTCCACAATAAGGGATATATTTTCACTTTTTCTGTAAAATGCTTATCTGTCTCTAGATCTGAACATTCAAATTGACATACACTAGGAAGAAGGATTTGCCGTCCACTTCCAAAATAGCAGGCCTCTGAAAACCCTATGTACAACAGAACACAAGTAGAATGACAGTAAGGAAAACTGAGTATGGAAATACAAAGGAAGAGGAATCGTTGTAAGCAGACACTAGTGATCGGAACATGGAATGTGAGAACCATGAATGTGGGAAAATTAAATATTGTTAAGGAGGAAATGGAATACATAAATATTGTCATACCAGGCACTTGTGAGATGAGATGGACCGGTATGGGGCATTTTGAATCAGATGATCATATAATATACTACTCTGGAGATGAAAAGGTGAGGAAAAATGGGGTTGCTTTCATAGTTAGAAAAGCCATTTCTAGATCCATCTAAAAGTACAATATTGTGAGTGACAGGATAATATCCATACACATACAAGGAAGTCCAATGGATACCACTATCATTCAGATATATGCACCAACAACCAGAGCCAAAGAAGAGGAAATAGAAGATTTCTACCAACTTTTACAGTCGGAGATCAATCGAACATGCAATCAAGATGCATTGATAATAATGGGCGACTGGAATACAAAAATTGGGAACAGAGAAGAAGAATCAGTAGTCAGAAAACATGGACTCGGAGACAGAAATGGAGCGGGAGACAAAATGATTGAATTTTGCACAATCAATGACTTATTCACCGCAAACACATTTTTTAAGAGACATAAATGCAGGTTATACACATGGATTTCACCAGATGGTATGCATAGGAATCAGATCGATTACATCTGCGGAAGGAACCACTGGAGAAGCTCAATATCAGCTATGAAAACTAGGCCAGGAGCTGATTGTGGAACAGACCACCAACTACTCATATGCAAGTTCAAGATGAAGCTGAGGAAAATTAAACCGAATCCAGGAGAACCAAAATATAACTTTGAGTCTATCCCACCTGAATTTCAGAACCATCTCAAGAACAGGTTTGAGGCCTTGAACACTAATGAGCGAAGACCAGATGAGTTGTGGGAGGATATCAAGGGTATCATCCAAGAAGAGTGCAAACGTTCATTACAAAGACAGAAGAGGAAGAAAAGACCAAAATGGATGTCAGAAGAAACTCTGAATATTGCAGTGGAGCGCAGAGAAGCCAAAGCACAAGGAAGAACTTAAGATACGAAAGAGCTGAACAGAAGATTTCAAAAGGCAATGCGGGATGACAAAGCAAAATATTACAATGAAATGTGCAAGGAGTTGAAGTCAGAAAACCAAAAGGGCTATACTTGCTCACATTTCTTATGCTCAAGGAACTGAAGAACAAGTTCAAACCTCGAGTTGCTATAATCAAGGATGCTTTAGGCAGAGTATTAAATGATCCAGGAGGTATCAAAAGAAGAAGGAAAGAATATACTGAGTCATTGTATCGAAAGGAATTAGCAGACACAGAAGAATTTAATGAAACAATATATGAGCAAGAGCCTATGGTGATGAAGGAAGATGTTCAAGCTGCTTTGAAAGAAATAGCAAAAAATAAGGCCCCAGGAATAGATGGTATGCCAATTGAAGTATTTCAGATGACAGATGCTGCCCTGGACGTGCTCACCAAGTTGTGTCAAGAAATCTGGAGAACAACCACTTGGCCAACTGACTGGAAGAGATCTATATTTATTCCCATTCCAAAGAAAGGTGACCCAACAGAGTGTGGAAGCTATAGAACAATATCGTTGATTTCACATGCAAGCAAGATTCTGCTGAAGATTATCCAAAAACGACTGGAACAGTCTTCAGAACCAATTATACCGCAGAATAGAACACAAATCCATACCACTTAGCCAATAAGAATATTATGATAAACAGAGAGAAGATAAAAGCTGTCAAGGCTTTAATTTTACTTGTATTCACAACCAATATTCATGGAAGAAGCAGTGACATCAATAATGAATTGTATTGGGCAAATCTGCGGTAGACCTTAGGAAGCAAAGATGTCCCTTTGAGAACTATGGTGTGCCTAATCCAAGCCAGGATATTTTCAATAACTTCATATACATGTGAAGGCTGGACAATGACTAAAGTAGACTGAAGATGACTTGTTGCCTTTGAATTTGTTGGTGAAGACTACTGAGTATACTATGATTGCTAGAACAGTATGTAAGAGTGAGGACTGAAGATTTCGTCTCCTGTACTTTGGACATGTTATCAGGAGAGAACACTCCTTGGTGAAGAATGTGCTTAATAAAGGGTCAGTAAAAAGAAGACAATCTTCAAGAAGTTGACTGACAACGTGGATGCAATAATAAACTCAAATACAGCAAGGATTGTGAAGACAGCACAGGAATGGCAGTGTTTTGTTCTTTTGAGAGATTGCAATGAGCCAGAACTAACTTGGCAGCATTTAAAAAGATTTTTTTTTTTTAGCATTTAAGAATAATTTTTAATTAACCAGCTTTTCTTTTGGAGAACTGCTGTGTGAATCTGAACTGTTAACCTTTAGGTTCAGCCATAGTTCTTCATCTGCTTAGTATAGGACTTTATCTGATTCAACCCCTTCTTCCCAAGTCAACTCTCTCTTTCATCAAAACCCTTTCTTAGACTCTCTAGAATTTTTATTCTATGATCAAACTATTCTCAGGCTCTTTTCTCAAGTGGAGGCTACATTTTCCTCTCACATCTGAGAACCTCAGAGATAAATGATGGGTTTCCACCTTGAAGCCCAACACTCTCTTCCCTTACTGGGCTAGCATCTCACTGCAACTTTCACTCACTCAGAAATTCTAACTTCTGGATCATGGTACTCCTTTCCACCATAATGACCGATGACCTCAACATTCATGTGAATTAACCAGTTCTCATTTCCTTATTACCAATGTCATGCTAAACCCAAGTCTTATAGTCACATACTAGACTGTACCATCACCAGAGACAAAAACACATCTGGTATTTCAAGTTCAATTATCCTATTGTTTTAGCATCATCTCTTGAATTTCAAGTAAATTTGTCCCAAGTTAGCCTCTACTATAATATGAATTTATAGGCATTCTTCAATCTACTAATCCCACCACCTTCTCATTAACCATCAACCCTACCACCTAGCTTTACCATCTTCTTTATGCAGTATAGAATTCATTTGTTTATTATTAACTCTCCCATGCAAATAATTTCAGTTCTCTCACACTATTTTTCTTATTCTATTTTGAATAATCCATCTCATTTGTCTTATCAGGATTGAGCTGCTGAATTTTCAAAGAATGTTCATTACTGGCATGGTAACGAGTATCTGTTTAAATTTATAACCACAAACCTCTAGTCACTCACCCAATGTTATCAGGTGGGAACCAAGTCAGAGTTGACACTCCAGCAAGTTTTCAGAAACTGTAAATTGCACAGAAGGAGACTGCCCATCCATCTCCCACAGAGCAGCTAGAGGATTAGAATCAATTGTCTTTGGGTTGGCAGCTCAATTCTCTTTTCAGTAGGCTCCCCTCTCACGGGCCTGCAGCACTCCAAGTTTATATTTGTTTCTGGTAAGCTAACTTTTCCCCACACAGAGAGAACTTTATTATCATACTTAGTATTCTTTCTTCAATTTTTTTCTTCCTCCTTTTCCTTTGCTTTCAGCTGATGATTTGGCACCACGCTTAAGTAAAAATATAAATGCCATTAGGCCTGAACTAATTTCCTAGCACCAAATAAAAACCTTACCATACCAGTGCCCATCTTGACCTTTTTTCATTCAGTTTATAATAGAAGAGATTTCCTCTTTCCCTCAAAGACCAAAGCTTCCGCTTGTGTTCCACCTCTTCTTGTCTTCTCAAAGACATCAACTCCTTTGACTATTATCTCTACCCATTTCTTATACCTCTCTTCTTCTGACTCATTATGATCTGAGCATCCTTTCAAGAAGACAAACTCTTCTTATCAAGACTTTTGACATAAGGCTCTTGCTGCCTGGAGTGTTCTCTTTTCCTTTTTCTGCTTCACTCTTTCTTATCTTAAATATCAACCCTGCAGAAAGCTTTTCTTCTTTTTACTAATATTGACTTCAAGTCTACTTCCATTCCCATTATTTTCCATGTCAGTGTCTTATTTGTTTCCTTTATTGTATCTATAATAACTTAAAATTCTTATTTGTGTATTTGCTTGGCAATGATCTATTTTCTTTATTAGAATGTAAATTCTATAAAGCCAGGTACTATTTTGCTTACCATTTTTTTCCTCCCTCCAGAGTTCGGCAAGACACTTTTTGCTATACTGGATACTAAAATTAAATGATTTGTTGAGGGACTGTTTTATGGTCTTTTCTAAATTGATTTTCCCTCACTTATATAGTCACTAAGGAGGCCTGGTAGTTTAATGTGTAATATCTCAGGCTGCTAACTGTATTTAAATCAACTATGTACTTAACGGGAGAAAGACGAGGAATTTCCTCTTGTAATTATTTACAGCCTTGGAAATCAGAGACTTGCTGTGCATGGAAATCAACTCAAGGCAGCAGGATCATGTTACCAGCCATCTTAATCACTAAGCATCTTACTTACATGTCCACACGCTCGACAATGATGTCTTCTCCTGGTCAGAGCATTGAAGGATTCTTTGCATTTCATACACATTGTTACTTCATTATCTCGAATCCATCTTGGGGCTCTTTTCCCTAGCTCAGCAGTCTAAAAAGGAGAGACTTGATTTTTACTAGGAAAAATTTCTACTTATTTTTAAAAAAGCACTTTAATACCATCAATCAACCCATCTATGAAATTCAAGAGTCATGCAAAGAAAGAATGGTAAATTCCAAGAAGTTTAAGCTATTTGAAAAAAATTACTATTGTGCTTTTAAGAAAGAATGATTTTGTCTCAACAACCAGTTCTGGGACCTCAAAGGGAAAAGGGTTGACTAATAAAATGACTAGATAAATTTTTTCGCAACTGTGAAGAGTTAAAAAGTGTTTAAAGAATTTAATTCAACTTACAGAAACCTCCGAGTGAATGTCATTATCCTTTGCGATTGCATTTCTGAAGGTTTCATTCCTTTGATGGAAAGCATCAATAGTCTCTTGAAGGGCCTAAAATAAAAATGAAATAAAGGCAGATTTTAAAGTATCACATGCAAAGGTATAAAAATATTAAACAAATAACTATAATGAGAAGCACCTTGAAAATTAAAACACACTCATTCTAATCACTTCCTATTAAGTAAATGCAACAATATGGGCAGGTCTGTTAGAGAAAGGAAAAAAGTGATCAAAACCAAAAGGAAGATGGAAATCAGGCTTACCTTGATCCACTCTTCTTTGTCTTGTTCAGAACTAAAGGGGGAAAAAAGTTTTAAAATTAATGCAAACAGCAGTAATGGATTGCAACTGGTGAATAAATCTATGCTTTGATGTTGTCCCAACTTTCCAAAAAATTCAGGGCTCTCCAGGAAGAACTTACAAATAAAATTAAATAGAGCCTCTGGCAACTGAATAAATAAAAAAAAAAATAAATAAAAAGACTTTAAAAAGACTATCCACTTCCTTTGGTACACACAATTTTCAGCAGGATATAATTAAGTTTGTCTTCTATTAATATATTTCCCTGACATTATCCTCAATCATCTAGTTATTTGGATATAATATGTACTGTATAATACACATCAGCTTTATACTAGGTATAAATGACTAGTCTCAGCCCATCTTAGCAGAGACTAAGAATTCTCTGAAACTTTAACATGTCAGGGAGCTTTCAGAATATTTTTCTTTATAAACAATTTTATTTTCCTATTGTTAAAAGGCTTCAGGCACTAACAACACACTTAACCCATTGTAGATAAATCAAACATACAAAAATGTTCAATAGCCAGAGGAAAACGATTTAACAGATTAATGGACCCTAGTTTTTAATAGTTCTTTGGAAACATATTTCTTTTAGTCAAGTCCTGAAATTTGCTGTTGAGGAAAATCATCTTTATTTCATCTTCTTGCAGGTACCACTTTATATACTATATTTTTTAAAAATCTCTGTTAGTGGACTCTGAACTGGGTAAGATCTTCAAATAGAAGTTTTAAAAGGGTGAGTTTTGTTTTTGCTTGTATTTGGAAGGATTAAATTTGAGTTGCCATCTGAATATCATATGCCTTGTTCTCACAGGTATAAAACATGTGTGAGTCTGTGATAGATCCTTCCCCTAATCCTCAAGTTTGTTCCTGAACCACAAAGGGTCTGTGCTACCCACAGAAGACTCTGCTTATTTTCTATCTGGACTCCTTAGACCAAGAACTCAGCAACTTTAGTCATACCTCTGAAAAGATTTTTCCTGCTGCTTTTTTTTTTTTTACCCTCATAAAGTCCAATCTGTTGTCCAGGAACCACTGTCATTTACTAGCTGCTTCTAGCATTTTACATTCAGATAAAGACATGTATTTTTAATATTCTGTGGGTTTTCTGAGGGTAGAGAGTTGTTTTAGCTTTTTCAGATAGAGTGCAGTTTTTTTACTCTAGTTTATCAATTATAACTTTTATTTAACAGTTTAAAATTAAAGAATAAAAACAAAACAAAACAAACAAAAAAAGCTAAACAAAACAGTAATTTGGTTTAAAATTATATAAATATGGAAGAGGAAGCTTTGGAAGTTGACTCATAACCCTACAAGAAAGAAAAAAGCAGAACCCTTTTTTTCCACAGTTGGTTTCAGAAGCAAATTCTCTTTAAGCAACTCCAGTACACAAATATGTATGCTACTTTTTGTTCCATAAAATCCCTCTGATACTGGCTTTCTAGGACTTTCAATGCTTGTCTTCATTCCTAAGGGAGTCATGAAAGGCTGGATTAAAGGTAAGTTTTAAAGATCTTCAATGTCATCTTTTAGATGATACATATAATAACAAGAAATAAGAGGAAGTAAGAAATTTAGGAAAAGTGATTGTGTTTCTAAAATTAACTGGCATGTATACAATCTGGCATTTTAGAATTGTGTAAAGTCTAGGTGTATTTAGTAAAATTCCTCTCTAATCAGCCCATTTTGGAGAGAAAGTGGTCCAACTTGTTAAGTGGCTGGTGTCTTCCTAGTACTGTCTCCCCTGCTACTTAGATGCATCTCTCAGGTTTGAAGATTAGGAAGTATCCTGAGATTTCTGAGCCAGTAGGGCCTTTGGCCTTCTGTAAGGAAGACTTACGATGATTAGAACTATAGAGTAGTCTGCCCCAGATGTAAGGACCAGTCTTCAATGAGTGAACCGTTTAAGGTTTAGTCACAGTGCAGAATCATGTTAGGGATCTGCAGAGCACCAAGCACCTTGGATTAGAGTAGCTGAAACCCCAATTGCCCACCCACACACATGATAGGAAAACGATGATTCCTGGAGAAATACTTTCTTTTTATAGCCTCATATTTAAGTCACTAGACATGAATTAGAAAGTTATGCTACCAAGCCAAGGATGATTTTAATCTGCAGCCCTCAGGCCTGGTTTTAATTGTTTTCGGTTAAACATTCTAAGTGGTATAGCACTGGTCTGTCCATATGCTGTAGAGAAGTAATTCGTGGTTGCTGTGATGCTAAACACTGCGACACTAATGTGTCAAATGTGATAATGGTTACCTATGGTGGAGCTCCCTGATAAAAACAAGCTTGGAAGCAGGAGTGGCATCCACTTCCAAAATAGCTTGCCTCCGGAAACTCTATGAACTTGGAGAAACGATGAAAATTCTACAAATACTCAGGTCTTTCATTCATAGGGTCATTATGCGTCGTCTACGACTCGACAGCACTTTAACAACAGACATGAATTAAGTACATTTATAGTGGATTCACTTGATTAGCCAGAATCACACGCTGTGATGCAAAGGAATGGAGAAGATTATCAAGCTCGAGGACCTGAAGCGCCTGCTGCAGAGTGTCAAGGACTGCAGCCTACAATATGGATTGAGGCTCAATGTCAAGAAGACAAAGATTCTCACCACTG